ATCCACTCATTGACATTGTTTCGTATTTCTCAGTTTAAAAAACAAAATGGTATACATTACATGCAATAGAAAACTTTTCATTAAATGATAAATTCAACAAATGGATTGTAGGTACCTATTATATTATGTGAGTATGTGACATGATAATTTTCATCATAATAATATAATAAAATACATATAAAATTAAATTTTTTTCCCTGAAACAGTCTGAAATATTTTGAAATATTATGTATGTATTATAATATATAGAACCTACATTTTATTATACTTACCATCTAACTTAAATCTTAACATTATTATAACATCTGATATTAAATATTTTCATTATAGTTAAGTAGGTAAAGTAGTTACAGCCAACCATAAAATCCGGGAATTATAGTATTGTATCAGGAGTTTATTAGAAATTATATTCAAGACTGTTTTTTTTTATTAAATGTGTGGTATCTATAATGAAAATATAAAATATGGTCTGAATAACGACTAAAGATAGCATTTTATTTCGTTACAGTTTTAATGCATATTTTCCATTTGCTTCAAGCTTACTAGTTGTTATTATATAAAGTGCGTAATGTTGTTTACTATGAAATACTCAAATACCTGAATTAAATATCATTTAAATTTAACATAAGTATACCTAACGTTGTTTACCTAATATTTATTAAAAAAAAGTTTTGAGAGGTGCTTAAACTTTGCCTTTTCAACTACGGTATTCCATTTAAAAATACGCATACTTGTGTCTTTTTTTTTATAGAAATTATAACGTAATAAAACTTATTTTAATATTCAGGAATAATTTTAAAACAACAACAGATGTTTTCGATTATAGATAAGTACCAGTTATTTAAAAATAATAGAAAAAAATGTGTATTAACACATTTTTTTGAATTGGGTATTGTCAGTTGTATGATATGCTTATTATAGTTATGTAGAGAGCAGTGATAAATAACTTTCTTTAACATTTGTTTAGTATGCATTAATAAATAATAATAATAAAAATAAGTTGACAACAATTTAACACAAATATTTTGAAATAAAATGATAAAAATTGATTAATTATAATTCGCAATGAGTAGGTAATAGATATAAATTGTATAATGCAATGAAATGTAACAAAAAGTAAGAGCCAATGACGTAGTCCTATAATATTATAATCTGCTAAAAAGCTTCAAAATATAAAGTATATTATGTCACTTATTTTTAACAGCATAATATACGTTTCATTGTTCCAGAGTATCACATTACATTTTTTTTTTATTCAAGTAGTGTTATACTGTTGTAAGGTGTTAACCATTTTATTTAATTTATAGCTATATTTTCAGAATATTATAATAATCTTGAACTTCAATGGCAGATACAATTTCCTTGTAATGTATCGTATATTCGTATCATAGTATTCACTTAGAATTACTCAAATCATTGGATACTGTTTTAAAGTTAACAACAGTGAGTCTCTCCGAGTTTTCCCTCGACTGTAAATTAATTGGAACTCATTTTTGTAAAAATATTCATTTAGCTTGGTCATATTGTTATTTGCTATGAACTCTATTTATGATTATGGCTTAATATATAAATTGAAAATTGAAAATTATTTATTTACAATGAGCTTAAATTTAGCTCTTAAATTTCTAATTTTAACAAAAAAGTTTGCTGGTGGTTTGTTATTTGTATAAAATGGTTTAAAGTTGTATAGAAAAACAAATAGGTACATAAATATCGACTGTAGACTGGTTTGCCATTAAATACAGTTTTTTTAACCATACTTTAGTGTGAAGCGGGATTTTTCTTTTTGACGCTTATGCTGAATTTATTTATTGTCCATATGAAGTAAAAGTGATAATTTTGTATGAGAAATAATATAATCGGTGAGTATTCAAATTTGAGTTGACTTGCGAGTGTATCATATTGACTATTAAATCTTCTATTTTATACCTTTATAGTTTTGGGTTCGTTTAATTTTCATTTTATGGGGATAAATTGACAATTAATTACATTAATTTTTCGATTTATACCCACTTTCGCCGACAAATGTATTAGTTTTAAAATATTTTTAATATTATTTTATTAATATAGTTTCAATTCGCCGACAGGTGACAATAATTTTTATCGAAAACAGGTATAACGGCGATATTATTATGGTATTTTGTCAGTATCATTTCAAAGGATCTATTTTTATAAGGGTACCATAATAGGCTCTATTTGAGATTACCTATACAACACATATTAAAAAAATTTTAAATAAACAAAAATTAGGATCAAAAATTAAATACACAAAATGAACGTAATATTTGTAAAAATGAGCTTAAAAATAAAAATGCAATAAAATGCCACAAGATATGCAAAAACTCCAAAATAGAAATTACACATTCTCAGTTGTTACATCACGAAACAAATTTAGTTTTTGGTTAGAACTGTATAGTTCTTGAAGAAAAAAAATGCAAAGTCGTCAAAATTCTAGCTCTAATAATCATTAAAAAATATATTTACTATTTTGACAAACTTTTGTACATCTACATAACTATAAGTACTAAAGAATAATATTGAGCAGTTAATATCATTATCTGGATGTTAATTTCTTTTTATTTGTATTACCAATATTTTAATAATTATAATAACCTTGTCCTTCAACTATTTCAACGATTTGTTCACGTGGGTTTAATTATTTGTCTCTATTTGATGGTATTTTATCGATTTTAATAGCATTTTAAACTGCACTCATGCTATATAGATGTTGAATCAAACTGACTTTTTTATAAACTAAATATGGATCTATATTTTACTGTAGTATCTAGTTTTTTCAGTCTTGTATCCACATTGTATCTTAATTTATTATCTTCCCTTTTTCAAGCTCTAATATAAACAAATGTTCTCTATATGTCTGCTTTTTCGTCAGCTGAAAAATCTGGACAGTAACAATATGAATTATATAATGATGTTAGCTACTCAGTACAAACACAATCATGAATGACCTAAAAAAGGTGTACTGGTAATTAATTAGATTTTTTGATTAGTAATAAATAATCAAATGGATGCCCAAATAGTATAATGAAATCAATTATTACGCAATGCGATCATTTGGTATATACATTTCATGAAAAGTTGTCCAAATATGGTATGTTTTTTTAGTCATTTCGAGATGTCTAAAAAAGACTTAACCCTCTAACATGACGGACGCAAATTATTCATTTTATGCATTCAAAAACCCAGTGCACGGTATGATCGTTTTTTATGAACTGAATGTCCATTTTACGAAAAGAATGATTACGTTATGTGGACGTGAGTATGTGACATAAATATATTACCATAATATTATATTACCCTAAATACCTATAAGACAAAACTGCACCCATTAACATTTAACGTTAATACTAATATTTTTGATTAAATTTGTCATTTTAAGATATTGGCTTGGAAATGAAATATGTTAAGTCAAAATCCATTAATTTATAACTTATTTAAGTAAATAACTAATTTTTTAGCTTATTGAGTCATAAGTGTAATTAAAGATGTACAATAGATAATATTGTAAAAGTTAGTGTTAATAATTTGAAACTACATAAAAAAAATAAAAAAAATAAATGAAATATAAATATAAAAATATATATGTAAAGTAAAATCAAAATTATTGAAATGTAATACATACATTTTTTACGATATTAGTTATTAAAATAATTTGTGTTTATGAAGACTTTAATTGAATATAATAATAATATAATAAAATTATCGAATCAACATTATTAGATATATAAGTAATTATTATTCATAAGTATTTAAAATATAGATAAGTAGAGAATAGAGATAAGAGGTACACGAAAAACAATTTATCTCAACAATATTATATGTAATTATTAATTATTAATATTATGTCAAATTGTCAAACGATATCGAGATACGACTGACAAACAGACAAACATAATATTTCATAATCATTGATGGATCAATTTACAAAGAATCTGAAAAATACAGCTGTGAACATGTGATATTCAAATGAAAAACATTATATGAAACACAATGCATAAAAAGGGGAAAGGGAGGTAAGCGCTTGGTTGTATAAATCGGCGTGGAGTGTACCCTAGTCATTGAATAAGTTACTATGATGCATGTGTTAAATTTTAATCCAGTGATAAATCATTGCATCATATGAAAAATAATTTTGAGCGAAGATAAACTGCCAGTCTATAATTATTACTTGGTATATTTTATATCATCATTGATAGGTATAAAAGTGTTTTATTTTACTATTAGGTAGGTTGACAATTTTAAATGATTCTTGTCTATAAAACATATTTTCATTTAAAAATGCCATTGTGTGTTTCAAATAATATGCATTAAAAGTTACAAGTATCCACAAAAAATATTTTTAAAATAACAAAATAACTAAAATCGTTATTCTTTGTCTAAATACATAATTTCATAAAAATGTTAACTTAAAATTTCAATAAAAAAAATTTTGTCTATATATATTTTAGGATTTATTGACTTAAGTAGATATGATCAACTTAGGAGGAACCTTGTAATCCATTGTCAAGGATTTTAACCAAGTAGAAATTCGGTATTTACAGAAAAAAATGTGAAATATCTATAGTGAATAAATAAAAATACCTCAAACAATTTTGATAATTATACTAAATATTATTGAAAACGGTAGTATAAACAATTGGTAAAATACTCCAAAAAAACAAATAAAATGTTGTCAAAAACTAGCTTAGCTTGAAAATTCTAGGCTTTCTTTATTTTTTGGTAATTTATGGGTTATTTACGGCAAACAAACTCGAGTGGAAAAAAGCTACCTATACCACACCACCCGGCCTTTGACTTGCAGGTTTTAACAATTTTTACATCTTATTAGATTTTTATGTCGCTTTTTATTGGTACATATACATTATTATACTCAAACTTATTCCGAAAAAGGGATGGGACACACATATTATTATTATTAATATTGTTGTTATTGCGTTGTTGTTAAATTGTTTCATTATAATGTTTCCGTGCATCGCCAACAGGTCGGCGACTTTGGGATCGTGGACGGTGGCGGCAACCTTTCGGCTGCGTCGTCGGACGCATCATCGCTGAGTGTTCCCGGATCGGGGGGACCAGGCGGCCACCGTCACAGCATTCCATGGGGCCGGCGCCGCAGTTCCACCTGGACTGGCCGGTACTCGGACGCCATGGATCCAGAATTTACGGACTTGCAGCGAATGACCACCAGAGGCAGCGTGGGCATGCACAGCCTGTCGGACTCACTGCATAAGCTGACGTTCACTCAGAGTCTGGCGTTCCCGGAACTGGCGCGCAAGCTGGCCAGCAGGCGACGACAGGAACAGCTACGGGCCGCCATCAACGACAACAGCCAGGACGACTTCGAGGCGTGTTCTAAGTTTGTCGCCGTGGCCGGCGGGTTCCTGCTCAGCCTGATGGTGTACTGCGTGGTGAATAAGTACGGAAAAGTATAAGGGTGGTCGCCCCGTGGCAACGACCCGGGGCTTATGGCGGTCTTCGGAAATCAGACCGCGGCAGAAATGAATGCCACCGAGGCCGCAGCTGTATCCGCCATCTCTTCGGCGACACGGCCCCACGCGAGCGGGCCGGGGTCTGGGCCGGATTCGGGGCCAGTTCCGTGGCAGGTTCCGGGGCAGGTTCCGGGGCCAGTTCCGGGGCCGGCGGTCGGCGCCAAAAACGGTGGCGAGGGCAGTGGACGGCGGACCGGCCGCTCACTGTGGAGTTATATTATAGCAATGGACGTCATCACCACCAAGGCCAACAACGGCGACCACGGAGGCGTAAAGCGTGGCGATCCTGACGCCGACCGCGGAGGAAGCGACGAGGGCGGCAGTCCGGACAACGACCACGGAGAAAGCGACAAAGGCGGCAGTCCGGACGATAACAGGTAGACCGTCCGGCAGTATAAACGTGTGCGCCAAATTATTGACGCGCACGCGCGCTCGTTATCGCACCGCCACACGCGATGCACACACACACGAATTAGTTACAGCCTTGGACGACTGAAATTCGATAAAACTATAAAAGCAAACATATTTAAAAGCTCCGTTCGCTTATAATATTATCTTCGTAGTAACGACACGGTGTGACCGCATTTCTATTTCTAGTTCTAGCCCCCTATTCCCTCCGGAACTCAACGCAATGCGATATTAAATTAGTGCAGTTGTATGAAAATGCAAATGTGCAATATATTGTGTACTATATATAACTATATAATATGAGTTAATGAGCATCTGCTACTTATCTACGTGTTTGACTTTATTATATTATGTGCAGAACGAAACAAAATATTAATAAATAGGTACTGTAGTATGAATACTTGGCGGAAAATTCAATTAATGGCTTATATATCGAATCGTAAAATTAGTCGAATCGGAGTTACGTAAATATACTAACATTGGTGTGTGTGCGGGTGTGTGTCTGTGTGTGTGTGTGTGTGTGTGTGTGTGTGTGTGTGTGTGTGTGTGTGTATATGTGTTAATTAATTAGAGGTAGATTTGGTGTTTTATGCAGTAGATGGTATAACATGGTTTACAATAATCCACCCTCTGAATTCGCCTAATAATTCAAATTATTATTATATAACGTTAATATTCAATATTTATAAGATAATAATTTAGCCATAATATTGTTATACACAATAATAAATTAGCAACTACACAAGTCGATGTATAGGTAATTGAGTTTTTTTTTTAAACAATAAAATACACTCAAATTCAATTCTGAGAGAAGCTTTATTTTTGGCCAAAAATGTTTATTGTGTGTCATAAGATCTCAGGTCCTTGACGACGCTTTTTACCGATTTCTGACTTTATACACTATATACTGACTATATAGGATAGAGTACCTATATACCTATATAGGCACTAACATATTTTGAATATAATACCCGTTCAAAGGTCAATATATGTTCACTTTCCAATCTATAGAGGTATGTCGGATAAAATTGACGAGTTTTTTTAACTGCTTCCAAAGAAATCACGTACAAATACAAAAACATCGTTGTGAAACGAATAAAAATAACCGATAACCGCAATGCCAATTCTTTCCGCTCAATGTCTTGCAGTAAAACCAGATAATAATAGTATACCCACCTACGTCAGTCGTTATGTAGAAACTGTATTTGACCAAAATATAAGTTTCTGGAATAAAAATACATAAATCAGAAACTCATTTATTTGCAATTCAAAAATATTTCAAGTTAACTAAATTGTTTGAATAAGTTTGTGACAAAGGAGTTATTCACGCAAAGTTCAAAATAGTTAATGCTTCTCGGGAGTGTCAGTTATTATCATTGCCTTGCCATTATATAGTGTAAAATGTAACATTAAACGGGCACCTAATTGGTAAGAAGGAATACTGTATAGTACCAGATGAGGCCCTAGAAATACTACGTGGAAAAAAATGGTTAAACCGTCTTTTAAGTCGTTTCGAAATTCAAATAAATGTATTACATTTAACATACTGTTATAATTTATATAAAATATTTTTTGACGACTACCGCAGTGCGCAACACACTCTTTATTATATAATATATTTTATTGTTGTATATTATCCAATATAATTATTCTTGGAATTGAAAACGTATAACTAAAAAGTAGTTCTATTGATACTTATTTATATGGCATTTTTAACTGCTTCAAATGACACATTTACTTGTGTAGATAATAATATCTACTTTCAGGGCTCAGACGAATATATGTATCGATAACTACCTTTTATCCCTTAAATCATGTTATGCCACACTTGTTGACGTCATATTATACGATATTAGATAACAATAATAATAAATATTAAATTATATATTATTATGTATATAATATTATCACTTACCCCATAATATTACATAATATATTATACTATTAGAATATTAGTTTATAGTTTTTGATGTATAAATAAAATAAAATACTCATACAGCTATAGGTATATCCAGTGGTGTAGTTAGATGAGAAATGGCCCCGAAGACATAACGCTAATAGGCTTGGAATTAGTATAATATGCAAAAAAATATATGTGCCCAAACACTATTAAATAGAAGAAATATGACGTCAAAACTTTGAACGGATTTTGAAAATTTATGTTTTTTGGGTGTATGAACCCGAATGTGTGTTGTATATCTATAATGTGTATTATTATTAAATTTAATATTGATTGTGATCGAATTAAACACTTATAATTGAGAATATTTATTGAAAACTATATCAATACCTTAAATTATTTTAAAGAAGACGTTTCAGAATTGTCCTAGAGCCCCGGGGGTTCCTAGAACTCTGGGGCACTGCACCGGTTCGCTATATGATAGCTACGCCATTGGGTTTACCTATCATTGCATACAATTATATAACCCAAACTTACTATACTATACTGCAGTTAGTAAATACTATTTAGTATTAAATATTATGTTGCATACTATTTGTCTACCTGTGTAAGTGAACGAGTGGAGGCTAAGTTACAAAAATTAACATTGTGTGTATGATAGTTTTTAATGCTAAAGTCGTCTTCTTAGACATATTAGATAATTATAGAACACTTGTTTGTCTTTAAATATACGATAATGGAAATTAAATTACTCTAAATTAATTAAGTGTGTTAGGCATAATTATTAATATTTGTTGAATGTTTACTATAATCTTAGCAAGAAATAATTTCCTTTTTTTTTAACTTTTAAAGTTTGACTGGCCAAGAAATGTTATTTTAAAATGTTATTAAGTTATTGAATTTCGTTGTAAAGAGAAGTTTAAGTAGCTTAAAATAGAAGGAATTATTCATTTATACATTTACTTATTTTTAGGAAACAAATTTAAGTTTTAAATATATTGCATATTATGCGTATGTTTTAAACCTAAGTATTAACTATCGATTAGTTGAATAACTAAATATCTATCGTTTACTGTTTATCTTGGGAATTCTTGGCTGAACTTTTATTATTTTAACCTGTTAACAGCAAGCACATTTCTAGTATAATATTATTAACAGAAATTAGAATTAGAATAAGTATGTGGGATACTTAGTGAGATAAAACTGAATTTGTGTAATAACTAATTATTTATTAAATTAACTATCTACTTATTTTTTTTAAACTTTACATTAGGTATTATATACGAGAATAACATATTATTAAGTGTTAGACAAATTAATTAGTATAACGAAACAATAATTTTAAGTTCATCGTTGAATATTTATGTACCTATCCATGTCTATCATCTAGAAGAATATTAAGACTTTTCAGGTTCCTTTATATACATTGAATAATAAGTATTATTATGTAGCAACCATAACACTTAAATTATTGTTTGGTCCACTCGATGTAGGAGATAGACATTAAGTTTTAAAATGTTAGAAATAAGTGCTCATATTATAAAAATACATGTTTTCTTCCCAAGCAAATAATTTTGCATTGCCATACATGGTGAGTGTTTATGTGTATAATATATTACTATGATAGATAATAAATAAATAAGTTATTATTAATATAAATGTATGTAATATGATATAATATATATGTATACCTATATGTGTGTGATATGAATGAATTATCAATAATATTATCTTTCAATTAAAAATTATAATGGGATCCAAAGTAAAATGTGTGTGACTTAAGTGAACCTTAACAATACTTCCTAGTTCCTGTAGTTACTATATTCTCTAATTAGTCCACCCTATTATACGAGAGCTGCTGGAGAATGGAAGTTTTGAAAAAATGAAGATTGACCAAACTGACCGGCTATCTTTCCATAAAAAATTTCAGAATTAGGATTGAAATTCGTATTTGGTTTTCTTCAATTTTAAACGATCAAATACAAATATAAAAATATAGTTTCAAGTTTCTTGGAAAAAAAATTGTGCTTTCATATTATTAAGGTTTATGGGTTTCAGTAAGATCAACTTATGAGGAACTTTAAGTCTTAACAATAAAAGTTTAACATTTATAAATATTTGACAACAAAATAATTTTAAAATGTTGGTGATTTTGATGAATTTTGACAGTCTTAACTTCAAATGATAATATTAAAAAAAGGTGCCTAAATAATTTTTATTATTTTTGAATATCTATAACAACAAAGTAGAATCTATTATAGGTGTGATTTAGTACTACATTTTCAATCTTTTTGATGAAGCTTAACTAAAAAAAACTAATAAATTCGAAAATTTCAATGGTCTATTGAATAAAATAAATTAAAATTCGTCTAAATATTTTTTAAATTTCACTGAGTATAGTGTATATACACAAAGATAATTTTAGAAACAGTGGCGGATTTAAAGTTTCTTTAATTAAAACTTTTTAAATTAAAACATTTGAACTTCAAAAACTAAATTTGTTATTTTACAAGTGAATCTGTCTTCAAAATTTGAAATTCTATCACTCATAAAAATGTCTGTGGCTTTACGTCAAACTTTTTTTAATTATATTTAAACAAAACTTTGATCAACCTTGAATTTAATTTTCAAAGCTCTGGTATGAATGATACATTTTTTATGAATTTTAAACTACAAAATGATTTGCAAAATTGTTGATAAATATCTTAAGAATTTGAACTTAAAACACTCATAAAAGAAATTGTGATATATATCATTGATATTTTTAAAATGTGGTATGAAAAACTTAACAGGAAAATTATTATATTACATTTTCAGATTTTTTTACTAAAAAAACGATCAAAAATTATAAATCTATAATAATAGCACAAAATGAACCAAAATATTTTGAAAATTATTTAATTTTAAAAATGTCAAGTCTATGATAATATTACATTTTTAAATCATAATAAATTATTTAACACAAGTAATGATAATTGGTTTTGCTTAAAAATTCAAAATTGTCTTAAAATTTACATTTTCCAAAAAAAATTTTGAAATGTTTATTTTGATTTTTAATTTTTGACCTTTTAAAAGTGCCGACTAGATTCAGATTGTTACCAGAAACCATCCTTGAAGTTAAAGTTCGAAGAATTTTATCCATTATTCAATTTGTGCACAGACATAATATGAAAGAAATTAAATATCAATATAATCAACATATAATATCGAAACTTGTAAAATCGATTTTTGAGAAACCTTGTTTTAAATTTCCAAGTTTTTTGACAGAGAAAAACAAATTTCAACAGCAATAATTGAAAAAGTAAAAATTGTTTATTAATATCTTGAAAAACACAAAATATTTTGAACGTATTTGTCAATGCTATATAATACCCCAATATATAATATTAATATTTAATAAAAATTTCAAGTTTGTACTTTTTTATTTTCGCTTTAGAAATCAAAAATAATCATTTCGTACAAAACGTGTAGATAGTCACTTCATATTTAGGTATTCATATATTTATTTTGGTAATTTAATTTTATATTAGTTATATTCTGTAGCTATAATAGTCCAATACGGTAGGTTGAAGTTGTGAACTCGTTTTCACTAAAATAAATCACATAATATTATATCTAAATAGTAATTTGCATAATAGTATTTGAGTATAACATTGTACGATATATATATATTATATATAGATGTCTAGATAAAAAATATATTACAACATAATATTAAAATTATTCTTATTGGTCCAGTATAACGCCAGTACAGAACGGGCCAAAAAGTAAAGACCACAGTTGAAGATATTAATTGGATTGTATGAATAAGTATAAGGTAAATCGTACGAATAAGTTAAATATTAATCTATATTTTGAAAACTTCATTATATAGTGGTGAAATGTTTAAAATACTGAGAATATTTTTTGAATAATTTATTAAAAATTCGTTTGTTTACAACCGGCAATTACTTTCATGTGAGAATTTCCTTCAGAACGTTTTTAAATTGAAACGTGTGTCTCACAATTATATTTCCTTTAAACTTATATAGTATTATATCTCGATTTGTTAGACGTATCTAAAAATGAAGAGATACTTAATCGTTAGGTAAACACAATCTATACAATATATTGAAACATTCCGAAGTCAATTAGTTTCGTGAGCGAGTAGCTAACGGTGTGAACAGCAAACTGTACGTTTTATATCTCAGTATTATAATATCATTGTTTTTATGACTACAATATTCATCGAAAATATTTACAATTATTTCATTCTATGTTTGTACATTTATTGTAGACACTTGGTCAATCTTCATTAATCATTCTTAAATTCTTAAATAATTATTTTTTTTTATGGAAATAACCGTTGAGCTCGATTATTTAAAAGGATGCGATAAATAATAAAAAAATAAACAATAATGACAACAATGATGCAACAATTTTCATCGAAACTGACTCGGTGATACCAGGGTCGCACGGTCTAGTAGCCGCTCGTTCTTCAGTTTTGGCTTTGTCGGCCGTGCCGGTGCAAGCGGCGGCGGCGGCTACAGCTGCTATAGTTTACTCGTTCAACTACTAACTATATAGTACCATCGCTGCATACATTCCTGTTACTAATTGTCAGATCGCTCGCGTAATAAACGTTTAATACGCGATCGCGGTGTTTCCATCTTCGGTTGACGGTGCTATTCGTGGTGGGGGCGGTAGCATTTTACTCGTTTCACGGTTGAACTTCGCGATCGTGGCATATATCCCTGTTACATATATTCTGGTCGTTCGCGGTTTGTAACGTTTTTGTAATGTTTTTGTAACGTTTCTGTAATGTTCCAGAAATGTTTCTTTAGTGTTACTTCTACACCTTTGTTTTCCACGACGTCCACACTCCACGCCCATACTACATACATACTACATAGTACATACTCCGTTCCGAAAATACTAAATAACTTATGAAATTTGAACTTGAAATGTCTACAAAATAAAAGCATGCATATGTAATTATTAGATTTTTACAAGTAACAACTTATAAGGGACCTTGTATTAAATGGCCAAGGTTAGGGTTAAAATTGAAAAATTAATTGATTTTCATTTTAAGTATTTCATAAAAATTTGATATTGAGGAGGACGTTGACCCGCATCTGCTATCCTGTCTACTCGTATAGGATACTTGTCAATTGATCGAAAACAATTAATCGCACGAAAATTGATCGAAAACTTTTGATCGAAGAACAATTGTTCCCAAAAACCAAATTAGTTGTTCAATAACGCTATAATCTGAATAAGTAATATAATCATAGACTTTTTAATAATAGAACAGCCCACTTCATGTTTCCACTGAGTCACATCGATAAAAATTGTATATCTTACGTGGTGCACTTTGTACTTAGATATGAAGATATTATTAGATTCGACCGCAATAGTAATTTTATATCGTACGTCGACGTGGTGCATGGCAAATCCGAAAATTATTATCGTTTCAGTATTATAGTGTACCTACTTCAAATACTTTTGACACGTTTTAAGTTTTGCCATCATGAGTTTGGTATATGTAAACAGTGAAAAAAATAAATGATTGTTAGAACACTGAGGGTTTTTACATAAACAAGAAAAAATAACCTAACCAAGATAAGGTTAAGAGAATTCAAAAAATTTGCACTGATTATAATGATCTAATCATTCTAGATTATCTACTTGGAATAACCAATAATTTCAACTGGAACTTTAATTTTT